CAGGCTGCTTCTGTGGCCCTGGTGGTGAGAAAAAGAAAAAGGTGTGTGTCCGTGAGGGTGGNAAGAATGCAATAAGATTAGTCTGGCATGATCTGTTTTTGACAAACCCATATTGGCTTTATATAAGAAGTCATTATATAATGACTTCTTCTGTAAAAACCTTAGACTTTTTCCTTATTTTCTTTTATTGTGGAATTATTTGGGTTTGGTTAAAGACAGATTTCAACCATGCAGTCATTCTACACTTTTAACCTTTAATGAAAACCACAGGATGATGTAATGATGAGACAAATGGAAATATAAACTGCTCTATGAAAGCCAGCAGTAGCAGTCAGGTAAATATGTTACAGTTGCTAATGATTTGTACATTACGTTATTTGAAAGGAAGACTGAGTAATCTATTAAGGTTAGAAGCTGGATATGGGTATATGTTTGCCTTTAAAAAAAATCACCCCAGCCTTGGCATTTATTTCTAAAACTGTGCTATTTGATCATGTTCTGCTCTGGCATTCAAAAATCATTTGGCTACCTTTTGTAAACTAAAAACGTAAATCGTCTGACATGTATTTATCATGTGAACTAAGCATGGAAAATTCAAGAATTAATTGATGATGATGATGATGATGATGATGATGATGATGATGATAATAATAATAATAATAATAATAATAATAATAATAATAATAATAGATGCTGAAGTTAAAAAGATTAGAAGTGAATAAATCATTTGACTAAACAAGATCTTAAAGTCCAAAGTCAAGGCAATTAATACCTGGGTAATTGCAATCATTAGATGCACAGCTGGAATAATAGACTAGACTCAAGCAGAACTAAAAGCCCTGGATAAGAAGATCTGGAAAATAATTCCAGTGAATCATGGCTTCTTAGCAGAGGTGGGTTGCTGCTGGTTTGGCCCAGATTGACCAAACTGGTAGTAGTAGCAGTGGAAGGCTCCGGCCAGCTGGTTGGTCACTTCTGCGCATGCGCAGAAACGCAACCTGACCGGTAGCAACCCACCTCTGCTTCTTGCCAAGGAAAATATGGGTGTGGAATGTTGCAAATACACCAGTCAGTTGAAGAAGAAAGAAAAAAGGCCATTGGAAGAATATTTGAAGATCAGTGAAGAAGATGCACTGAAATTAGTATACCAGGAAGACTTACTGAGTATTGGAGAGATCAAATTGGCCTTCAAGAATACCAAATGAAAAATAAAAAATAGACATGAGAAGGCAAAACATGACATGGCCAGAATATTTAAAAAAAATAGGCAAAGCAGCTATAACAAGATCTGTCAATGGCTAAAAAACAGAAAATTGAAAAGAGAAACAGAGGAGTTGATTCTGCACAAGATCAAGCCTTAAGAACAAGTGGATACAAAACCAGAATTGAGAAGGCAGCCACAGATAGCAAATGCTGCCTCTGCAAAGAAGTTGAAAAATCACTGAACTACCTTATTAGCAAAGACTGACTACAAACAATGAACGGCATGACAAAGTAGCAACAATGGCGCACTGGAAGATTTTGCAAGAAATATCATTTGCCTGCAAGCAAGAACTGGTAGGACAATAAAATAGAAAAAGTCATAGAAAATGCAGAAACTAAAATTTTCTGAGATTGTAGAATTCAAATTGAATTACATTTGCATTTCCAGGATAAAATAATTACCACATGCATAATTTCACTGAAATGATTGCACTATACAGTAATTTGAATTGATTTCAGTTCGAAAGTACATGGAAGATTTTGGAGCAAATAGTGGCATTTATGACCCACCCTTCAACAGTGTTGGGCTTCCAGATGCAACTTAAAATGCTGTGGCTAATCCATAAATCCTTTTATGGCTTGGTACCAAGATGCCTGCAGGATTACAGTCTTCCATGGGAAATGGCCTGGGATATTTGATTTAGGAAGGAAAAGGGGAATGGATTTCAGAGGTTCTATTACTCAAGGATAACACTGATCTGGAATGGCCTCCCTATAAATATGGGTTGGCTTCTACTTTGCACTCTGGAAGTAACTCACAAGAAACTCTTTTGGTTGATATTCGGACTACGAGGCCAACTTGGCTAAGTTTATGGATTGGTGGCTTATTTTATTGTTTACAAAGTTTTGTATTTTATGTTGTATCCTTACTTGGATTGCGTGCTTTTATTGTGCACCTCTGAACCTCCTGAGAGTTTGAACCTTTGAGACTGGAGTTTGGTTTAAATAAATGAACACATGCAAACTTATAACCTGAGAGAGGGTTTATGTAACATTGCATGGTTATATGCTGAGATGATTAGTATTTTACTTCAAATATGATTTCAAAACGTTTTGCTGACAAGCCCTGTAACTTTGAATGTGGCTTGAATTCTTAAATATGAAGACATATCAAAGGCTTTACTCTTTAATCTACATGAGAAGTTTGTATTGCCAAGCATACTATGTACTACTTTAGACTTACCTGTTATAGTATCTAGACCTTGTAGCGTGTCACTCTAAAACCAATATAGAGAATTGAATGAATATAGTCTGAAGATCTACTCTTTGCTGGAGAAAAGTAATTGAGCTATGCATGATAATTAGTTTTTAAGCTAGAACCAAGCAGTTTTAGCTGATTTGGGCTGTTTTCCGATGTTAAGCAGGGTTACCCTGACTTGTACAGGTATTCCTCAACTTACAACAGTTCATTTCGTGACTGTTCAAAGTTACAATGGCACTGAAAAAGTGACTTAGGACTTCACACTTATGTCCATTGCAACATTCCCTTGGTCACATGATCAAAATTCAAATAATTGGCAACTGGTTCATATTTATGATGGTTGCAGTGTCCCTGTGTCATGTGTTCAGTTTTTGCAAACTTCTGATAAGCAAAGTTAATGGGAAGCCAGATTCACTTAACCATGTTACTAACTTAACAACTTCAATGAATCACTTGGCACAAAAGGTCGTAAAATGGGGCGAAATTCACTTAACAAATGTCTCATTTAGAAACATTAAATTTTGGGCTCAAATTCCAAGGCAGTGAACAGATTTGGAAGTGTAACATTGCCAAAAACTACGCGGATGCACTCATCAAGGATCAGACTTAAGCCAAGGAGCTTTATCTTTAGCCCTTGAAAATGTGTGGAGATTGCAAAGAGTATGAAAAAGCTGTTGAAAAAGTGCTGAATCCTGAGGTTTATTTAAAACGTATAAGGCTTAAATAACAATGCTTTTATTGCTTTCCAATTAGTTTCCAAGTCCAATTTAAGGTCTGTTGCAATTATTCAAAGCACTAACACTGTAGAGATTGAGAAGCTTATTTGAAATAGAATTTGGAGTGTAACCGAAGCAGCTTTTATTCTACAAACAAAATACAAGACAAGTCTTGACATCAATGCTTTTATTTGAGTTGCTGTGACCTGTGTCCTTTCCATCTGTTTCTGCCAGACAGAACAAGTCTTTTTTCTAATAGCTGAACATCTGCATTTGCTTCTTCCTTTTCTGTGTCCATCATTCACTTATCCGTAGAATAACATGTCATTTATTTCTCAAGAAGAAAAACACAAGTTTAGAAATATCAGGATTTGATTTTGCTTGACCTGAGCACTCAAATTCCTCCAAAGAGGTCTGACCACCAAAGGGCCAGGCACTCCAGTAGATTAAATTGCTGGAAGTGTAAATTCTAAATCAATGTAAGTGTCATTTATTTGTCCCTATAAACATGTTGTAGCTAACCCGCTGAGAGTTGTAAATCATCCAGTGCCCAGATCTCAAAAGGCTCAGGAATCATTTGGAAAAGTTTTACTGGGAACACTGAAGTTGCAATGGCAATGGAAAAGAAAAGAAAGAATATTTTCTCCTCTGTCTTCATCATTGCTATAAAATAGACTTTACCATGAATGCTCACCAGCAGAGTTCAATCAGATTTTATCTGTGTTTCAGCAGATTTTGTCAATTTTTCTTCCATCTGCATGTTATTTCCCCCCAACTTGCTTCATTACTTTATTTTATAAAAATATAACATTCATTTCAACTTCATATTTGCCTATATCTAAACGATGGTCCTGTATTCACGCATGTTCACACTTCCTTTTCACAAACAATGCATTCAGGATTCATATATCTAGATTTTTTTTTCCGTTCCAGTAGAGGATTTTCCATTTTCTTTTTCTACATTTCTTATTATCAAAACAAATGAATAGAAACCCAAGTAATCCACTGAAGGGTTGCTCAATCTGCTTTCTCTCTGTTTGACTAAGTGAACAACAGGAGAAAAGATGAAAGTTGCAATCAAGGAGGTAGCTATTGAACAATCTATAGACCTGGTTCGTTAAGTCTAAACCATTCTAACTGCATCATGATTTACGATAATGTGATATATGAACTAGGCGGGGTTTTGTTTTGTTTTGCTTTGTTTTAGAGGCGGGAAGCTGCTAAGATGGAAGCTCCTTTAAAATTTCCTGAATAGTGACTCCCGTATTTTTTGGAGTATAAGACGCGTCTTTTTTGCTCAAAAAAGAGGCTGAAAATCTGGGTGCATCTTAGAAACTGAATACAGCATTTTTTGCCTCCCAAAACCCCGCCCCTTTGCAAAAATGGCTGTGCATAGCCTTTAAGAGGCTTACAGAGTGCTCCTGGGAGCTGGGGAGGGCAGAAATGAGCAAAAAACAGGCCGGTTTTTTGCTCAATTTCCACCCCTAAGCCACCAGGAGCACTCTATAAGCCTCCTAAAGGCTATGCATGCCCAGTTTTTGACAAAAAGGGCCTGTTTTTTTTGCAAAAAACAGGTTGTTTTTTGATCATTTTTTGGGGGGGCACCCCTAAAGGTGGGGGGGGCATCTTTAGGAGGCTTGCAGAGGAGCACTCTTTAAGCCTCCTAAAAGCTATGCATGGCCCTTTTTTTTTTTGACAAAAAACGGGTCATTTTTGGGAGGTCTGCAGAGTGCAAAAACTTTTTAAAAAATTTTCCTCTTCAAAATCTTGGTGCATCTTATACTCCAAAAACATGGTAATTCATGATTTCTTTTTCAGAGAAAATTAATTCGTGTGACCAAGAAAGGCAGAGTGCACTTGAGGAAGCCAAGCAGAATCCACGTGAAGGAATTGTTATCCCTGAATGTGCCCCTGGAGGACTGTACAAACCAGTGCAGTGTCATCAGTCCACGGGCTACTGCTGGTGTGTTCTGGTAGACACTGGTCGCCCCCTACCTGGCACTTCCACCCGGTAAGAACAATTTGCTTCCAATTTGTTGGAATTGGGGGGCATGCATAAGCGTACCAGTGTTCCTACCATCTCTTGCTGTCCCCATTTATCTGTATTTACTTCCTTTGTTCATGTTTATGTTCATACCTATACTTGCTATCTTGTACATGTTTGGTAAACAAACAAACAAATAAAATAAATACATTTCACCTTTATATGCAATCAATCGTAGCATGGAGGTGGAATGGAGCTGGAAGAAGCAGGATTTAGATAAAGAGGATTTAGATCAGGGATGGATAACTTTTTTCAACCTACAGTAGGTTGAAATGTAGCATCCCTCTATAAGTATGAAAAAGACAAATATTTACCATTTAATTTGTTTGTGTCTGAAGTGCATGTATCAATGCTTAATGTCATTAATGATTAAACTGGAGAAAAAATTGCTAGCTTAAAAATTATAATTACTTTGTTTAATTCCAGACAGGTGTAAATCTACAACATAAAATTTGTTAATGATTGTTTATATTTTATTAAACTTTCTTCAAATTTCCTATTAATTGGGAAACAAATATTAGATTGCAGCCCTATACAATTCTTTTGAGTTTAGATGATCCAAACATGCAAATAACTGATTAATACATGGAGCAGACTTTTATTTTCCTGGGATCTTTTGTTGCAATACTCGGCATCCTAGTAAAAGAATCCTTTTCGAATAGAATAACAGAGTTGGAAGACACAGTGGAGGTCATCTAGTCCAATCTCCTGCTCAAGCAGGACACCCTACACTATTTCTGATAAGTGACTGTCCAGTTGGCACTAGTTGTAATTGTGCAAATATTCTCCTCATCACTCCAACTGTCAACAAATACAGTGACAGATGGGTTCAAAAAGTATCCCAAACTGTAAAGTCCATTTCCTGGGGCAAACAGGCTTTCCTTCGGTTTTCAGATGTACTTATTAATAGGGTCTCCATCATTTCTGAATTAAATTTCAACACGGTCTCCCTCATCTGGGTCCATTTAGGAAATATGCAAATTCATCAGACATTTGGAGCATACTGCTTTATCTGATGCTCTATGTCAGTGATGGCTAACCTTTTTCAGACCGAGTGCCCAAAGTGTGCACCAAAATTCCCAAAATGCAATGTGTGTGTGGCCCCTGCGCATGTGCCCCCTGCATGCACGTGTACCCCCACATGTGGCCCACCCCCCATGCATACACATGCTCTGCATGTCCCCCACCCGCCACACATGCTCATGCAGCCCCCCATCCCCCACACATGCACATGTTGCCCCCTGCATGTGCCCCGCAGCAGAGACCCAAAGACCAGCTGGCTGTCGGGAGGCACATGCACAGAGGAATTAAACTGGGGCAATGGCTCATGTGCCATCAGAGAAGGTGCTGTGTGCCATCTCTGGCATGCGTGCCATAGGTTCGCCATCATGGCTCTAGACCTCTTCTGAGGTCTACAGCATCCAGCATTATAAAACTGATCAGAAAATGATCTCCATATGACAACAGTTACAGAAAGATTCATCCCTTTTGTCTCACAGGCTCCATCTGAATGTCAAGTCCTTTGGGTGCTCTACTGCCTGTGTGAGGCAAGATATAAGTTGGAACAAGTCCATTGGCATCACGCCATGCATGAAATTCTGAGCCACTTCTGACATGGCAACCTCAGCATGAAAATTAAATTTCCTCAAGACATAATATCTAGGATAGTTCTTGTTACCTCCTCCCGACGCAGCCGGCAGCCGCAGTCAGAGCCCGAAGCAGCTGATTGGCTCTGACACGGCTGCCGGCCGGCGGGAGAAATGCGCACCGCCGATTGGTTGCCCGCCTGACAGCTGTCAAGTATAAATAGCTGTCAGGCGGGCTATGTTCTCCGTTCGTGTTCTGTTCTAACATTGTAGTTGTTCAATAAAGTTGAGTTCAGATTACTTCAGACTTCAAGTATTTAAAAGTTCTCTGCTGTGACTGTCCCAAGATTGTCCCAATTAGTTCAGGAAGAAAAACTTTCTTTAATAGGGTGGACAGTACAGTAATGTTATTTCCCACTGTGATCATCCCAATACAGTAACTAACAGTCAACATATCAGCCTGGCAGCTTCTGGTCAATGAGAAGGGATTCTTCATAAAAGTCACACAGGGAAGAGTTGAATTTCAGGGAGACTATTTCTATTTAGTCTCCTCCAAATCCAACTCCTAGATTTGATTCCTTTTTACCCTTTCAAAATCACAGTCTGCATTTCCAAATGCCCATGGAATAAAATCGTGTGATATAGTATTGTTTTGAAAGGGATAATATAGAAAATAAAATGATTTTTTGAACTCCCTGGTCTGGTGTACCTTGGATTTCCATAGGGTTGGAGAATATGAAACTTATTGGCACACATGCTTTATGAATGTGCTGTTTTTTAAAAAAAATATTTCCATTCTTTAGATATGAGACCCCTGTATGTGAAAGCGATGCTCGATCCAGAAGCCCAGAAATTGATGATCCTTTCAAAGACCGAGAACTTCCAGGTAAAAATAAAAGAACAGTAAGAGTGGTTAAGGATGGGCAGGCTCCCACCCATTGGTTGGATATAATTAGCCTGTGGATTATATATAGAGTTTTGTTTTGATGTTAAATCTTTTATTTATATAATCACTTCGCATCATATAATGTCAATAATGGTGACGACAATGCCATAAAATGTATGGGAAGAGGTAATTCCCTTCCCCATTACAATTAATTTGGGGTTGAACAGTTCCTTTTGCTGTCCTATTTCTAGTTCTTTCCCATCAATTTGGTTTGACTCATATTCAAGGAATCTTTGTACAAATGTTGAATTAAAAATGTGGAAGGTATTCATTATGGTTGAATAACTGTTCAGGATTTTCTCTAGCATGCGCAGTTGCTAATTTGCATTACTTCATTATTGGATTATGATCATGATGGAACTGAAACATCCTGTTTTTTTCTGCACTATATAATTTAGTAACATGCTAATGACACTTCACATTTTGAACCTGTAGAAATTTCCAGTATAGCTACAGTATATGTTCCTGCCACTAGAAGCTTCATTGTGTGGACCCTATAATTACATTTAATAAAAAATGAGATAATTGCATTTTGATTTAAAACAGCTTTCCCCAACCAGTCAGCCTACGGTTCTATTGGGATTGTTACTATCCATGTTGTTTGAGACTTCTGGGCCTTCCAAGACGTTAGCAAAAGTCAATTTAAAATATCCGTAAGGACTGAAATCTATAAACTCCAATGATCGTGTGTGATTGATTTTCAGTGTCCATGAACCCCCCCCCCCTTGCTGTTTTCTTATTATTTCTTTTTATTCTTATTGACGGGTTTAATGTATATCAACCTGAAATTTGCACAGTATGCCTTTGTGCAATTATGTTATAATTCCACTGGAACAACCAAAAGCGTTTTTCTTAGAGAAATCAATCTTTGCCTCCTTCTTATTGGGTATAGCTTCATGAAATGTACACTTACTGTGGAAGAAGAAAATGCCTGCTGCTATTGAAAAGCCAATTGAGATTTCAACATACTGAAAACATCTCATCAGAACTGCCTGAAACATAGCATGGCAACATTATAGATATGGGGGGAAAAAAGAAACCTGTTTTATCTTTTGTTTTTTTAATAAAAAAACTAAGTTGCTCTTCTTTCCAGGTTGCCCAGAAGGGAAAAAAGTAGAATTTATTACCAGTTTACTGGATGCGCTCACCACAGATATGGTACAGGCTATTAACTCAGCAGCACCTGCCGGAGGTGGAAGGTGAGTTTAGAAGCATTCAGGTGAAGTAGAAATGAGACACCCAAAAACCTGTTTCGTGCCTGGACAATAACAAAATTGCAAGAGGGTGATACAAAGTAGAAATCTATGCGGTATATACTATCTTATGTAAATCTAAGAGGCTTCCTCATATGCATATAGTCCTTTACTTATAATCACAACTGCGACCAAAATTTCCACTGTAAGTTGTGATGAAAAATTGAATCATCACCTGATGGGACCGGATCTTTTTATGATTGAATTATCATCTTTGTAACTTGAATCACACAGTTGGAAACCAACAAAACAGCACCACAAATTGTGATCATCTGACTATGGGATATTGTTTGCAAATGCAACGGCTTGCCAAGTGTCAAAATTGTGATTACATAAACATGGGGGAAGGGCAATAGTCATAAATTTGAATGTAGGTCCTAATTGACTTTTGGGGAGGCTGTCATTAATTTGAAGCACTATTAAATAAAAGATTGTAAGTTGAGGACTACCTGTATCACTCCCCATTTTCATTATGGAAGGGATAAGCTCTTGCTTTTTGTGCTTGAGACACAAATAATTAAGGTTTGTACAATTCATATATAAAATGGGTCTCTTCTCTAAAAAGGAGAACGAGTGAACCTTCTTCCATTTTATCTCACAGTTCTTTCTTGCTAGGGTCATGCCTGCTATTGAAACCAAGCAAAAGTAATGCAGTATTAAGAGTTCCGGAAAAGGAAGATTTCCACTCCCCTCCCCTCAGTTTTTTATGGTTTTATGCTCATGAACCTATATTTTATTCTTATGTCCTTTAGTCTGAACCTGTGATAAACCATTTAAAATATGGATGTACGTCACTTATCTTTTGAGATTTGGGTTCTTCAGTGAAAAAATCTGTTCTGTTCTCAGTTGGCTAGTCAATATAAGCTGGTTTACGCTTGCATAAGGTATATGCCATCCAGTTGCATCCACATGCTTGAATTAACACTAAGATACCTTCACACTTTCTTCACATTTATATAGGTTTTTATTTCCTTTCACTGACTTTATCACTCTCTATTTGGTATTCACAATTCTTAAATATTCATGTGTAAGCTATGCTTTTCCTACATTTTTCATTTATGTCTATTATTGTAGCGTTAAAAGAGAAAGAGGTAGAAATGTGAGAAAATAGAATTTGCACCAACAATATCTATTTCTTCTTCCTTTGATTTTATTACTAATGGAGGATACCAATTGAAAAGAAGCAGGAGGATAGCCCATTCCCATGGTAAAATTTCCCCCATGGATCAAGACCATTTTCCCCTAACCCCATTGGATCCTGGGGGACTGGGATCACTCTCAGTGGGGAAAAGCACCTCTCTGAAGCTCTTGATAGCATTAAAGTGTGTGTTTGTGTGTGCACGCACATAATATTTTAAATCTATACATGCACTGATTATGTTTTATTTTAATCTTTGTTCGTGAACAATAATTACTAGACAGAGAAATGCTGTTTAGGTTCATGCATCTATTCTATTTGGAATCTTGCTGGATCTGAATTTTACAGCCTGTAAGTGAAACAATTCTGGTGTGCTAGTTTTTCTTTCTTTCTACATTTGGGTTATATTGAACCACGATGTTAACCTTCAATTAATTTGGCAGAAGATAAGAACACAAATGATGCTGATTAATACAAACTTTGTGTGCTTATGTGTGCAAATCTCTTTCTATTCCACTGTTTTCCGGCATGGCCTTCTTTTATTGCTTACCACTCACAAAACACTTAAACAGTTTTTCACAGGGTTTCATTCAACAACTTGCTGCCTCTTGAAATTCCCATCAGATAATTTAAGATCGGTGTTTAGACCAAAGACATCTTTGAATTGAACATTTTTAAAATGATTGCAGAGGAAGCATTTTCACAGATAATTGAAAAATGATAATGGAGTTCCACAGCATTTTCTTTCATTTCAGAACATTTATAACACTTTCATCTACTGTATATTAGAAGTGTGTTTGTATGTGTGTATGTATGTTTGGTTGATTGAATTAGGAGCTGGGTAAATTTGTATCTTTTCCAATCTTTTGTGATCATGCAAGGCAGTGGTGGGTTTCAAATTTTTTTAGGACCTCTTCTGTAGGTGTGGCCTGCTTTGTGGGAGTGGCTTGCCGGCCATGTGACTGGGTGGGAGTGGCTTGCCAGCCATGTGACCAAGTGGGAGTGGCTTGGCANATATATATATATATAAATATTTTTTCTTATATAACTCTTTCCTTCTTCCAGCTCTTGGTATTTCTTTGTGGGTAATTGTGTGCACTGAATCTGTAAAATTCAACATTAGATACTAACAAAAACTGAGGAAAAATCTGTCTTTCATATTAAATATTCTGTAATGTTTTTGTATAGAGGTTTCTGTATTTAAGGATTTAATATGTGTCCAGGCATTTATTTATTTGCTTGTAACAAATATGCCAAAATGCCAGTTCAGATGGATGGATAGATCCATCCATTCATCCATATTCTTACATAATGAAATAAGTAGGTATTTCAGTGCCTGGGAAGGGGTTTGTATCTCTTCCATGTTTATTGAAGTACATGCAATGGAACATACAATGACAATATTGCACTTCTGATATATCTGTAAAATGGAGACCTCACAGTCTAGACCCAGTGTTTGTAAAGTAAGACAAAAAGCTAATATGGCTTTATTTCTAGGCATCTGTGGACAGAAACCGAAGATTAATGTAAGCAATTTCTTCATTCTGTAGTGAATTTTAATATCATTTAAATGTTGTTTGATATAGGCTAGAATTACAAACATTTCTGAACAAAGAAACGGAATAACACTTTGCTTTATTTATTTGCTTATTTTTCTTATTTCTTAGCCACCCATCTCCTGCAGAGAGGGTCTCTGGGTGGTATACAATATGTTTTTGATACTCTTCTGTTATAATTACATTAGTATCAAATCACTTACATTGTAAACTGATAGAAATAATATGGTCATTACCAAAGTTTTTCTGAAAACTTGATTATAAATTTGAAGCTGACAAGGTTAAAAGATTAAGACCCTTCAAACAAAACTAATAAAATTATTTGGGAGAGCTGGGATTTTGCAGTCAAATAGTTCATTTCAATTCTCCTGTCCGTTATTTATAAGGATGGGAAAGCCTCCGTAAATCCAGCGTTTGCAGTGAGTTTGTGAATGGACTGTGTCCCTGCATTCCCAGAAACTTTGAGGAGATTATTTGTTTTGAGGTCACTATACCCACAAAATCATGTAACATCTTTATTAAGAAGAGGTCTCTAGGAAGTGCTAAATTATGTGAGATAAATTTAGTGTACCCACATGATTTTCATTATTCAGCAATACAGAAGTTGTTGATGATAAAAGTATGTATCTACTTTAAAAAATAGAATTAAAGAAGTATTTTAGTATTTTGCTAATCTTTTAGCCAGTTCCATAAAGTACTTTGCCTTTATATTTGTACTTTTTATGATTTGTACTTTTTTTTCTGTCTCTCTGATTTTCTTCTGATGGACTTGGCCGGGCCATGTAAAAATCCCAAATTATTCAACAGTACTGGAGAGTAGATAGTATTTACCTCAATAATGGTAGTTTCTTTTCAATTTTTTTTAACTCTCAATTCAGATGATGGTTCAAAACCAACACCCACCATGGAAACACAACCAGTTTTAGATGGAGAAGGTAAGAGCCTCTTTTGATTTATGCAGTCCCCAAAATGTAATGTTATGTAAAGAAAATGTCAGGTATGACTGTATTATTGAAAAAACAAATTGTGTTTTTAGATAATTGCTGTTTATGCACATTATTTCTTTGTGGATTGGTTGAAATCAGAGTGAGATTGTTTTGTGACATGACGGCAAATGAAAATTAATATTGTGCTACATACCATAGTTCCTGTACAATTTACCTGGTATATACTATATTTTTGGGGGTATATCATAAGCCAGGAATAAGTGGATTTACCTGATTAAAATGATGTACAGTATTAATATTCCTTCAAAGAGTGTTATTATGTCTGTATATAAGTAGTTACCAAAAATTATTTCTTAATTATTCAGAAATTCTCAAGGTTACTTCATACATGAAGTGGCAGGCTTGCATTTGAAAATGGGACATTTTGGGAAAATTTGCACACAAACATTTGAAAAAAATGTTTTTTACTCTCTGATTGTCTTATCTACCTCCCTCCCACCCTTCCTACCTCTCTACCTCCCTAAATACCTATCTATATATATTGGTATTTTGTTTAATATGCTTTTAATGTGCACTGTGTTTTATTATGATTATTATTAAATCATGACCTAATTTTTAAAGCAAATTATAAGGCTATCCTTGTGTTTCAGAAATTACAGCCCCTACCCTTTGGATTAAACACTTGGTCATCAAAGATTCCAAACTGAACAGCTCTAGTATGAAAAATTCAGGTAATGCTTTTTTTTTTAAAAGATATTTTCTTCCTTTGCATACAAATGGTGAACACATAATTGTTAAATAAATACAATTTTATTGAAATTTGAAACAGAAAAAAGTTTTAACTATTTTTTAAAGTATAAGATGGGCTAAAAAATTTAGCAGCAAGGTTTTCATATGCAAATGGATGGAAAGATTTGGCATTACCCACAATGAAGGTGAAAATGATGGAATTTGCGGAGATGGTTAAATTGTCTTTTTTAATAAGAGAAAAGACAATTGTCTAAATTTATTGCTGTCTAGCAATCCCCTTATTGACATTTTGCATGAAGCAGAAAAAAATGAACATTTTTATATTATAGATTATAGGATGGATTGTAGAAAGAAAATAGTTATATAAATTTACTATAACTACTATAAAGAAAATGGGAAGAATTTATTTGTATCCCATTTCTTTCTTTTATATTTTTGTTTCACTTCCCTCCTTTTTTACATTTAGCTTTCTCTTTTATTTATTTTTCTTAGTGCACATTAGCTTATATTAGTTTTTACCTTCCTTTTTAAAAATTGGATTTAAACAGTCAAACAATCTATAACAAATTGTATGTGATGTTGGTCATTGAAGTGTATTTTTTTAGTGTAGATCTCGCACTCATGTTTAGTGTGAGTCATTCTTGAGCATCGTATCTGGATAGTCAATATTTAGTAGGAAAGGAAGCGTCAGCTACCTCTGGCGTAAGAACTTCAATTTCTTCTTTCGGGTTGGATTTTATCATGTTTTCCATTTTATGGAATGTAGTTAGTTTATTAGTATAAGTTCTATTTTCTAAACTTGTTTGCCTCTTGCTACTCTGACATTGGAATTATACCTTCAAAGATAGACTTATTTTGCTGCATCTTAATGAACTGGAATAAATTTTAAGAGTGTTCTTAAAAGGATATTTCTTATAGAATAAAGTATTAAATTATTTCCATTTATAAATCCCTATATCCTTATTTGGAAGAGCATTCCAGAATCCAGTGGTGTGTGTGTGTGTGTATGTGTGTGCGAACACACACACACACACACACACACAAATTTGAACCACAAAATTGAATGTTCTCATTTATGGATGTTGAACTACATTGGCTAGGAATCAGTGGAATTCATATCTGTCATAGATNGTAGATTTGTGGAACCTCTTCTATAGAAGAGGTTAGAACTGGCAGGAACCCACCCCTGATGCAAGGCTTCTCTAAACACTTTTGGGAAAAAAGGTCCTATTGTCCCTAGAAGCAAACATCTGACAGTGTTGATTATAATGATAGGAGTGTATTAAGGATCTGACTACCAGATTCTGTTTGTGTTTCCATTTTATATGAGTGTGAGAAAAAAACATCTAGCCTGATAACTATTATGCGTCTTCCAAGGTTCTCTGAGCCTGATCCCAGTCATACCCTGGAAGAGCGAGTGGTTCATTGGTACTTCAGCCAGCTGGACAACAATAACAGCAGCGACATCAACAAAAGGGAGATGAAACCCTTCAAGCGCTACGTGAAGAAGAAAGCCAAGCCCAAGAAATGTACCCGACGCTTCACTGACTATTGTGATCTCAACAAAGACAAGTCCATCTCACTTCAGGAATTGAAAGGCTGTTTGGGGGTCAGGAAGGAAGAAGGTTGGTGTGTCTTTTATTCATTAAGCTGAACTAACAACTGGCTTTAGAATTCAGCCTGTTTTGCTTTATTGTCCAGGTCATTTTGGTGGGATTGTGGCTTTTGGGGGTGGGGTTGAAGGGAAGGGGTGGGGTTGAAGGGAAGGGAGTATGCATAAGAGACAGTTGTTTCAAGAAGAAACGGGCTAAGGAGCTGGTAATCTTGGTCATTTGGAGACAGGTACTACTTATTTAGCTAAGTGCATATTTCCCTTGAAATAGTTCCATTAAAAATGTTATTTACCTCATAATGTCTTTCAAGAAGAGGCAGTTTGGTGTAGTGATTAAAGCATCAGGCTAAAAATCAGGAGACTGTACATTTTAGACCCACCTGAGGTACAAAGCCAGGTCGGTAACTTTGGGCCAGCCAGTCTTAGGAAGAAAGCAAAGCCAAACCACTTCTAAAAAAAGATTGCTGGGAAGACTTCATGTGCCTGTTGTCAGGAGTCACCGGGAGTCAGGAGTTTTCAACTATTTAACTGATTTTGAAATGCTACTGTTTACATTTATTTTTTTATTTGGATTGAAACCATGATGTATTAGGGTGAAGATTAAGCAAGCCTCATCCTGAGGGACCCTGCTAAGTACAGATTCCTTGGGTCTAATAATTCACTTGTACAATTGTGGATTTCCTAGATTGTGTATGTTGCACCCCTCCGCCTTCTAAGATGTAATTAAAGACAAGTCTTTATACAGTCCTGTGCAATTATTACTTACAGCTTAGCTCATCTGTAGAAAGAGACTATAGTGGCAATTTTCTTGCTCTCCCTGCCTCAATCTACCCCTCAATCTACCCCTACCAGAGGTGGTACTCAGCATATTCTGATCAGTTCTGGAGAACCGGTAGCAGAAATTTTGAGTAGTTCGGAGAACCAGTAAATATCACTTTTGACTGTCCCTGCCCCATCTATCCTCTGCCTCCCAGCTGATCGGGAGGGAATGGGGATTTTGCTGTATCCTTCCCCTGGAGTAGGGAGGGAATGGAGATTTTGCAGTATCCTTCCCCTGCCAAGCCCACCAAGCTATGCCACGTCCACCAAGCCACACCCACAGAACCGGTAATAAAAAGTTTTGAATCCCACCACTGATCCCTACCTTAGAGACATGCCAACTTGGGGGGGGAAATGAAACAAAATCCTTTATTAATATGAAAGGACAGGCCTTATGTTCAGAATTGCCCAGCTGTTTTCATTTTATTTTTCTGCAGATATTAGTGAGTTTATTGCACAGGAGAAGCCACAGCTCCTATTTTGAAGAAATGTAGTAATCTTGACCAATATCTAGAGTTAATAGACAAAAGAATATTCTTTGTATTTGCAGGTAGCATTGGCAGCTTCCCACATGGAAAAAGGCAAGGCGTTAATCCTTTCAGTAAGTAGTTTTTATTGTTTTGATTGCCTTCCTATCCCATGATCTTTCTTAACCTGCCACTTGGGGCATTTTAAGCTGATGCTTTTCAGAGTAGCAAACTTAACACACCAGCTTGTCAAGAAAACCAGGATATGGAGGCTCAATTTTCATCTTTCTCCAAATGATTCGGATTTGAAAGGGCCTTATTGAATGGTTTTTGTTAACTATTTGTCTTATAACAATTTATATAACTTGGTATATTTGAATAACATAAATTGTCTCAATAATATCCAAAGAATGTTTTTGCTTGCTTTTTAGTTGAGCAGAGAAGGATAAAGGAAACAAGTATTACGTTAGAAGAAGTTTGCAATTACACAAAATTATGCTTGACTAAAGGCAATTATAGGTGTCCCAGGATAATGATGCGGGATCAAATCTAGATAAGCTTCTGGGACCGGAGGTTTTATCTTCTGTGCTTCTGGACCAGTGATGGGTTCCTCTCCCCGTCGCTACCAGTATGGTGCTCAACAGGGCCGCACGTCCTTTCGTGCACATGCGCTGCGCCCCTGTGACAACCAACTACTTGTCGGAGCTCGCATAGGCACCACATGCTGTGAGTGCATGAGCAATTGGCCAGTTGCTTTAAAAATCGGTATAGAACACAGGTGGACGGGTGAGCCAAATGAGCCACCATACCGGTACGCTGTCAGTTGCTCCCAGCTACTACCGGTACAGCTGTACCGGGCCGTACCAGCTGAAACCCACCACGGTTTTGGACCCATGAGGCTCCATCACGAGTCTAAAAGCTCAGAAGACTTAATCTTTAGTCCCAGTGGCCAACTCAGATTCGGTCTTGCAAAATTATGTTTCTTCACTTTTTAATTAATGAGAGAAGTTATAAAATACAGCATTAAAAATTCTTTCCTTTTATTTTTAAAACCACAACTAGTGACTAGTTTGATTCTCTGCATGATTATATGCTTACCTTATTTTATGGTGCTTTTTACAGCTTCATTGTATCTTGCTTTTCTCAACCCAAGATGGTATGGGCAGCGGGGAAGGAGTTAAGATTTTTTTTAAAAAAGTGTACATTATTATAATTATTTTAAATTAATATAATCATAAACATATATTTTTGTGAGATATGTACCTGAAAAAGAGCATGTGTCTAAGAAAGTAAGCATATAAAAAGATCTGTGTTTCAAACAAGATCTTCCCTTGGTATGAATGAAATAATAGCATTAAGAAACTATATAAAAACAGATTGCTTGGGAAATGACTATTGAAAGCTTTGCACATGAGGAGAAAGTGTTAGAGAATGGAAATAGGTACAGAATTCTTTAAACCAGGAGTAGTCAACCTTTTTATACCTACTGCCCACTTTTGTATCTCTGTTAATAATAAAATTTTCTAAC